TGAACCCATTTTTAATGACTGTAGACGTTATCAGATTAGAAGTTGTACCTGCTACACTTATTACACCTCACCTTACTAACGTAACAGCATTATCTATAAAGGAAAAAAAAAAAAGTGAGGGATGCGCTCCTTTATATATAACTTATATATATATATATATATATAAAGAAGGCCTTTATATAAGCCCTTATTTTACTACTGCTATAGTAGCAGTGGGCAGAGTGACAATAAAATGTCGAGCTTCTAAACCAACATATCAAAGTCGAAACCAATTGAACTTCTCGGCAAGCCCCTGTTCTATCCGCGTTAGAAATTTGATTTTGTTCCACTGAGATGTCGCATAAAGTGGAAAGGAGTGTTAGACAGAAGTGACAACGCGACTGATGTTAGAGAAAAAAGAATATCCTCCTCCTCCTTTTTTTTTATTATTATTTTTTTTATATTTTTTCTTCTTTCTCTCTCTCTCTCTCTATCTCTTCTTCTTGGTCTTCTTCTTCTTCTTCTTCTTGTTCCTTTAAACCTCCTGTTCCTCCCACACGTCTTCTTTTTCCACCCTCTACTTCTTTTTTTAAGTTGTATTGTTCGACGTCGTCCTCCGTTGGGAGCTTTTAGCTACAGGGATTGTCATGTTCAATGAAGGTACAAGCAAAATTTACAAGACGATGGAAATTCTTTCTGACGACATTTGTATCATGTCTAGCGGTATGTTACAAATTGAATTGTCCACGTCTAGCCGTATTCAAATAGCTTTTAAACAGGACATAATTGTCAAAGCGAAAAATGGTTTGGTTTTGACTCCGGGCGATGCGTGTTATGTGTGTGTGTGTGTGTGGTGTTGTCTGTGTTATGTGTGCGGGGTGTAGAGAGGAACGGGCCAAAAATTGGAAGTGTGATTGTGAATTCCGATGGCCCGAGGTGCCAAGCTGGTGCATGATAGCCTATACTGTCTCCGTATAAACGCGTTACATCACGTGATGGAGATCTTCCCCCCATTTTTTTTTTATATTTTTATTTTTATTTTTTACATTATTATTTTTTTTTTTCGCTTTATATTTCTATTGACATGCAAACTAAGAAGCGATTTTTTCCCCAAAAGATTTAAGTTTTTTTTTTTTGGTTATACTTTAGAGCTTAAGCTGCTGTGTAGAGACTTGGATATTTTCTAGCCTACAGAATTGACACCGGATGGAAAATCAACTCACTTTAATTCGATTATCTAGGCGTATCTTGCCTATAGGTTTAACCATTTTAATAAATATGAACGCATTCGGATACCAATTTTAGTTTTGTTGTTGGATTGTCTTCGGGCTATTGTGAGTAAGATTGGGAATTAGATAGATAATTAGGCTATGGAATAGCCTAATAGGTTTTATTTTTTCATTTTTTCCCCCTCTTACTCTTCCTTTCAAAGCCTAGAGGCGAATGATTTAATGCCTACTATAGTAATTTATAAGGAGAAATTTTTATTTTTATTTCATCTCTTCACCCAAACTATCAATTTGTATGCCTTTCTACGTAAGTTATCGAGTAAAAGAAAACCTTTAACCTTTCTAAAAGTCATCAAATTATATAAGTTTCCATACAAACAAAGGTTCATCAGCTGCAACCTTCTAGAAGAGAATGCTACAAGAGTAAATACAAATAACACCCCACAAAAAATGTAATTTTTAATTAATATTTTCTATTAAAATGTATTATTTTTTTAAAAATATTTTATATATTGTCCGCGTTAATAGTTTCATTTATTATTTAAGAGAATATTATATATATATATATATATTTTTCCCTTTAAATTATGATGGATAAATTAAGAGACGATGCCCCAGAGGAGTAAATTAGTTAGGTAACGAGTCAAAGAGTCGATTTTATAACTCATAATAACAATTTTGATTACTGCAGTGATGATATAAGCTCTTCCCATTATTCGAAAAAAGGAGAAAATGTAACACAATTACTACTCGTGATGATATCTCTTTCCGATTTTCCTTTTTTTACAATTTACAATGATACAAAATGTGTTTTGTAATAATAACTTTTTTCTTGTAATATCTTTCAACCGGTCTGCTCCTTTCCTAGAATTATTTATCTGTAAGATTCCCGATTTAATATAAAAGAAAATACCACAAAATTCGTTACGTCAGCTTCTCCATCCCTTCCCCCGGTTTTTCAGGCTCTTTATTAAAGTTGCTTAATTTAAATATACGTAGAAGGCCTTTACAGCTTGGTTTTCTATATATATTATAGCCTAGAGAGTATTTTATATTTCTAAAAAAAAGGCCGCTTATTTGATTTATGAGATTATAGGCTCTAACCTAATTTACAGCTTGACAATTGTGAAATCATGCTGACAATCTTCAGGCCTGGTTAGCTTTTTAAGGTATTTTTTCCCTTATTATCGATCGTTTAAGGCGATTTTTATTAATTATGATCGATTTAAAAATAAATCCAATGCATTTTTCTATTCCTCTTAGACTAGGGGGTGAGCACGCGCTTGTGTTTAGAGCCCGATTAGAGTAATTGTTAAGCTACTACGTGTTTTTTTTGAGTGTTGCTGCACTGTGGCATCGATAATTAAGAAATTAGGCTCACAATTAATTAAAAATTTAAAACGGGGGCGATAATGAAGAACTTTCATCACGAGTACGAAGAAAAAAATCAACTTGTAAAGTAACAAAAAGTGATGCAACTGTATCAGGTAGTTGTACATGATACCTCGATGACCTATATACAGTTACACGAGAGAAGATCGTCTATTGGTTGCGGTCGGGCTGATTGGCGTGGTTGTATCGATCGAACAGCCAATGAGAGAAGCTAAGACGTTACGTAGTCGTCAAATGAGCTACGCTTTCTGCCGATGTTTGCCTGGATAGCCAACTGACACCGTATCTTTTTCCCATAACTCCACCCCGCCGTCTCGCCACCGGTTCTAATGTAAGGAAGACAACACATAGAAAGATCTTATGGCTCTGAGCATCGGCGCTGCTCCTTACACACCAATGTTCGTCTTACCTACGTTAAATTTCACCATAAATCAAGTTGCAGCCGTTTGCGAGACCCTCGAAGAAAGCGGTGACATCGAGAGACTAGGAAGATTCCTCTGGTCCCTTCCTGTAGCTCATCCTAATTGCTCCGAACTAAACAAGAACGAGTCGGTACTTAGGGCTCGTTCCCTGGTAGCCTTCCACACCGGAAATTTCCGTGAACTTTATCACATTCTAGAGAATCATCGATTCACCAAAGCATCCCATGCCAAGTTACAGGCCATGTGGTTGGAGGCCCACTATCAGGAGGCCGAGAAGTTGAGAGGTAGGCCCCTAGGACCGGTAGACAAGTATCGAGTTAGGAAAAAGTATCCGTTACCCAGGACGATTTGGGACGGAGAACAGAAGACTCACTGTTTTAAGGAGAGGACAAGAAGTTTGTTACGCGAATGGTATCTTCAGGATCCATATCCAAATCCTACTAAGAAAAGGGAATTAGCTCAAGCAACCGGTCTAACCCCGACTCAAGTTGGCAACTGGTTCAAAAATAGAAGACAGAGAGACAGAGCAGCAGCCGCTAAGAACAGGTAGTAAAATTTATTAATCGTATTAATCAATAGGGAAATTTCTCTGTTGTAAACCCCCCTTACAACAGAGAAATTTCCCTATTTAAAACTTGAGGAAAATGAATTTGCTTACAGATTTTTTTTTTTTTTTTGGTTCCTTTTGTTCGATCCGATCTTGTCCTTGGATCGATCAAAACATGTTCTTTAATACAAAAATATGATTAATATTGTATCCTGTGTGAATATTTTCAAGGTTTCTCCTTTATTTATTTATTTATTATTATTATTTTTTTTCTATAATTTTAATTAGAATAGAAGCATCAAAAATCGCGTCATTACCGATGACAGCTCTCGGCCATTTTCCAAATCTAAGAGTGACAATTGAGAATTAGATAATGATTTAATAACTGCTAGGTATAAATGCGATATTACTCACACTTTCCTGCTTAGTTACCAGGAAACTTTGATACAATATATTATTTTATAGCATTAAAGTAGTGTCTGCCTCCCCCGAGTTACAGAGACCAACACAAGAGACACCAAACACCACCCCCCTTTTATAATTAACTACGTGATTTTCGAGCCTCGAATATACATTAATTGCGAATTACTTAACACCTAAAAGAAAAAAAAACACACACATTTACGTGTTAAAATTTATCTTAAAATTCTGCTGGAGAACGGCATTAACAGCGTAGTTGTTGTTGTTGTAAACAATGGCACTTTAGTAATTTTGGTTGGCAGAAGTGTGTACCAGCCTTGACTGCTTGATTGCGCCAATTCTACAGCAATCAAGGTAGTCAAGGCCATTCATAACCTATTCAATAACAAGTTCAATAGATAAGTGAAGAGTTATCCTTTAAACATCAACAGATTAATGTATGCTTTCCTTACATGGTGACAGATTTTTTTTTTTTTTAAATTTTTGCCCCGTTTTCCTATATTAAATTTTCTACTAGAATCTTTATCGGCTCTAGAAGCGTAGGAAATTAATTTTATTAATATTTTAAACGGGCAACACAGCTTAATTTAAACGTGATGATTATTTTTATTTATTTATTTAATATTTCTTTTACTTTCTGTAAATAAACTGCTATATTTACAGCCTATGTTATTCTTAATTTATCTCGTTTAATTAATATTATAATTGATAAAAGGTCAAACAATTTTCTGCTTCCTTCAAAACACGTTTATCCCACGTTAGATCTGAGGATTTCTTCCATTTTAAGTAGGCCTAGGCCAATTTACACACCCGAAAACAAACTTAAACTTTAAAAATATAATAAAATATACGTTAAATCGATGGTACAGAACGGTACAAGACGTTATTTATTATATAGATGGAAGATAAATGATCTTCTCCAAGGCTTTCAGGCTCGAAGATGGACGTTTGAATTCGTGTTTTAAGGTCTTCGGATTAAAATTTCTTATACATTTCTACTCTTTTTTAGTTTAAAAATATATATTTTACAGCTCGATTTTATCATCAATTGATCCTACTTACCAGCTTAGACAGAAGTGAGGTATGTGCCACCAGTTTTCGAAAGAAAAAATAAATAAAAAAAAGGATTTAACAGGAGCAAAATATCCGTTAAATTCTAGAGATTAGAATGAATATATAAAAAAAAACCCGTAAAATATCCAGCAAATCTTACAGAGTACAGCAAAGTTTATTGTAAAATAGTTGCGTGTCCATTGATTTCTTGTAGGATTCGGGATTAGTGACGGCACAGTAGACTAAATGTTGAAGAAAACTTTAAAAGCAAGAGAAAGTCAGGATGTTTAATAAATATTCATGGGAAAGAATGCTGTCATTTCACAGACAATCTGTTTAAAATAGGAGTTACTGAAAGACTACAAATTGATTTGGTACCAGATGGGAGGATTCGACACCTCGCTATTTAAACCGCTAACCACGTGGGGTGGAAGTCCCCAGACAATGGATCAATAGGCGAGCAAGAGGAGCCTCATCCATCCTGCAATCACAAATCACCCAACGTGCAGATGGCCCAACTGCATTACCCACTTGTAGACACGGTAATCGTATTTTGCAATCCATTTATTCCGGAATTGCAAATCCCTGCTAGTGTCGTGCATTCACAAAGCCACAGATGTTGCTTGATGAAGTGTTCGATAATGAGGAGAAAAATACAAGAAAAAATAATTATCATCATCATCATTTTTTTTTTATAAATTTTTTTTTTACTATTAATACATCGATTGGGACGGGTATTTTCTTCTTCTTCTTCTTCTTCTTTTTTTCTGTTTGTGGATTTTTAGAGGATTTTTTACTACAGATTTTTATTTTATCCCGCAAAAAATAATGTTCTTCGGCTCTTAAAAAAATTAGCAAAGTCGGAATATGAGTGAAAAGGTCTTAAATTGAATAAATTCGAGGGGTTTAGAGTAACACGTGGACCTAAAAAGCGTGTACTTAATGGAGTTATAAATCTGGAGACGTTCAATTTACACATCTAAAATTCGGCATCCGTGATGCTTTTATATAATACTAAAGAAATAAATAAAAAGTTAAGGCTTTAAAATTTTATTTTTAATATATTTTAAGTCTATAAATTCCAAAAATTTTAATTAAAACACCGAAATTTCTCTTGTTCCGTCACCATCTTCATTACAAGTGCCATTCTTTCACCGTATTTTTTTTACGTCGCCACTCGTTTAAATTTAAAAAAAATGAAAGGAATAAACCTCAAAATATCCTAGAAAAAGAATAAAATTAAATCATATTTATAGAAATAATACACAAATAAAGAAAATGTAGCGATCTTCCTGTATAGTTCCCATTATTTACGAACTCAGTTCAAGGTGTTTTGTCTGGAAATTTGGATTTAAAATGGTTGTAACGTGTTAAGATAAATCAAAATTATTCGACTAATAATAGGATTAGTGTTTCGACCTTTCTGAAATATTTAAAATTGGGATTTTTTGGTGCATTGCCCCTAAAATCCGAAAATATCAATCCATTCTTCTTCTCCCCACCGACCAACTTGACCCAGTTAATTTGAAACGTCCTTTTTGAGATGGGCATTTATAAATGTGCGGAACTTTTTAATTTTTCTAACAGTTAAACGGGTGGAAAATACCTTAAATAGGTCAATAACGGAATTTTATTTATAAGATCTTTCTGTTTAACAGAAGAAGTAATGGACAAGTAGGCTCTTAGAGGTTTTAAAACTGAGGTTTCCGGTGGTTTGGGGGGTAGAAAATCTTACTATTTTCGCTCCGTTCAACGAATTTAGCTCGTATTTTTTGTTCTAGTTTTCAAGTTTAGCTTTATAAGACCTTTTTTTTTCTTCTTCTTCCTACTCTCCAATTGATAAGCAATCCGTGAAGTCCCGCCGCTTTCTCTACCCCGAGGATACAATTGCTGACAAAGATGTATAGGGCCTTTTTGTAACCACGTAACCTAGGAAGATTATTGCCTCATTCGGAGGGGGCATTTCGATTGGCATCACGCTGTGTTAAATATCAAAACATGTGCGCGGAAGAACTCGAGAATTAACTCCCTTTTACTGGGATTTCCCGGGCCTTAAATCACCAGCAAAAGACCGTCCCCTATAAAACGGCATCTTTATACCTAAAATCGTACCTTAACACTTTTCGGGTGAGTAATTCTCGCATTTAACTCCATTAAATTAATACTAAATCGGGTAGGTTTAGAAAAAAAAATCCTATAGAAGATAATAGAGCCTTAGGCGATTTTGTAGAGTGATAAGGCCATTATTCATCTTGAGAAGAGGAAACGTGCTACTATCGGAATATTGACAGTGGTTGTAATTAATACGGTGTTTACGCTAAAGACTGATAGTTTGCCAGATTTCGTTACATGATTATTAGAAATGGGAGCGAACAGGAAACGATCATTCATCAACTCTAATTTGTCACCTGATCTAATTGTTAACGGGTTTCCAATGACGATTTAAGAACCTCGGGGGCCTTGATGACGTCTTTCAAACACTACCATTTATCTTATAAACCTAGATTTTAAGCATTAAATAAAATTATCCTTACAGTAAACTTCAATCTTGTTATCGTTATAATGGATCCTACCAACCCCTGTTTAGGCCGACATAAATTTTAGAACCCTCCGATTGACTTTGCCTTGTCTGTCTCCCTCTTTAATTAATGTAACTTATAGTAAACTCTATTTTATCACTGTCTAATTTTATTAAACGGAACCCATTTTTAATGTTGTTACTATAGTAACAGGAGTTAAATGGATGGTGTATATAGAAAACTAGTCAAGTAAAGAGAGAGATTGTGGTCCGTTTTTTGCGTGTTTTCTGACGAAATATATGACTTAATTGTAATGTTTATAATAATATTTGACAATTAAATACAATTTTAATATCCTGTTATAACAATAAAAACATAATTAATACTTCTCTAAACAGTATCAAGCTCTAAAGGGGTCTTATAATTTTACTGTTTTAAGTAAATTAATTAAGTTATTTTTTATGTAATATTATAAAATTATAACTTATTTAACATAATTAGAGTAATATTTTAATTATATTTTTACTAAATATTACGTAATTTTGATCGAAAACATCGAAATTATTTACTAAATTCTATCATCACTCCGACCATCCTCCTCCTTCCATCAAGCTTATCATCACAGGAATAGGCCTAGATTCTTTTAAAATATAATTCTATAAAACGATTTAATTGCAATTAATTATATTAAAACGTAATTTATTGCTATAATTTCCACAATTTTTACCATAATCTATTAATTAAGTATGAAGGGATACTATAATAATGGGTCTAAAATAAACACAGGCCTATAGGCTACTTATATAACTTATAGTTTATCGAGAATGGCTTCAGTTTAGGATGATAATTTAATAATTTATATTAAAATTATATCGTTACACTGATTAATTAATTAAAAATTTAACTTATTATATTATTTTTTCGTCTACCCCCATTTTAAGATAGTAATAATATGAGTAAAAAGTTATAGGGCCCGATTTTCACGTAAGCTTAAGGCCTCTCGTTGAGTGTGAGCTTAAGTCCTCACACTTTTATACGTATTATTATTTACTGGAAGGAAAGGGGCCTCTTATATGTTGCGTTATGAATCTATAGTTTAAGGCCTCACGTTTTTATGTATATCATTATTTGTTGAAGGGAAAGGGCCTGTTATACGTTAAAGTTTAAGACACCATACAGGCCTTCTGATCCTTCACTCGACAAACATTTTTTTGTGTTTATACTCTAACATAGGCCGATAATTTAGAAGAATACAATACAGTATTTTTATTAAGTCAGCATACATTAGGCCTGTATATATTTTAATTAAAAAACACTAAGAAGTAGTGATTAATATATTCTATAGTCGAAAATTTAAATTAATTTACAAATTAAATTAAAAATTGAAGGCAACTTTAAGCCCGCGATACTGTTATCATAGGCTTATAACCAGAGTTTGATATTAGTTGTATTTATTAAGGTAATTCTATTTAGATTTTCTAGGCCTACTAATAAATGTTATACATTTTATAGTTTTATATGAAAATTATAAGAAACGGGACAATTTTATATATAATTTTGTATAGGGCCTACAGCCAGTCTACTTTCTGCTGTTAACCTACCAAAAAAATATAAGTTTATATAAGTTTTTTTAGTAAAATAGTCGACCCCCCTATAACACTGTTGATAATTCCGTTTTATATGAATTCCATGTTGTACGAGTCACTTAGATTTTACAAATACGCGAGTCGTTCACAGCCCGGCACACGTATTTGTAAAATCTAAGTGACTCGTACAACATGGAATTCATATAAAACGGAATTATCAACAGTGTTATAGGGGGATCGACTGTAATTCGTTTCTTTTGTATATTAACACAGAAGCCTTCTTTTATATTTATAAGAAAAATGACTTTAAAATCGATTATAGTATATGAATATTCGATATTTTATAAAGATTTGTATAAAGCTTATTTTACGTTTATAATTTAAAAATTTAAACTGTTTTTATACAAAATAACTGTTTTTATATTGTTAGATATAATATAAAACAGTTTTTATAGGCTTATATAATAATATTAGGACTTAGAAAAACCGTTTTGCCACATACTGTGCGATGTATTATTCTGTTTCTGTCTGTAGAATAAACACTTTCCTAACGAATAGATTCTTTTTTTTTCCTATTGTGACGACAGAAACGAATACAACACGCGGGTAAAAAAAGAAAAATCTATTTTGCACTTAAAATATCGAAGATAAAATAGAAATATTCAATCAGAAATTATAGTGTTTGATCGTTTAAGGCTACCACAGCAATGAAAACTTTAGAAGCTAACTTCAACACGAGAAAAAAAAAAAAAAAACACACACACACACACATACAGTTAATGACGGAGTAAAGAGAAAATAAATATTGATTTCTAGTTTATTCGTAAAAGGAATGTGAACTTTCAACAGGTGATGTCGAAATTTAACAGCTACCTTACGACTTTGGTTCGATAGAGGCATTGTCTGACAATACTTCATTTGTGACAAACCACTCGGGGCGCGATTGTGTCATCCTAAAGGTATTGACAACAGGGAGGGTTCCTACATCATTCAACACCACTTTCGTCATGATGGATGGCTACTGCACGTGAATCGGTGACATGTGTCAGATTTGCACGACTACCGTCCGGTAAATAGTGGACAAGCTCTCCCCTATTTACATTCGATCGTATTACTATGCGTTAACTCTCTTAAAAATTATTATCCGTAACCTAGGATATGAACAAACAAACAGTATACACACACACACACACATACACACATCTCATTTTTTAAGGTGGAGGGAGAGGGAAGGGAATTTTTAAAAAATCTTAATAAAAACTACTTCTCCTGTACAGAATTTTATCCAGATTTAGAATCGGAGGTAGCAAATAATAATATTGGAGACTTACGCCATTATGTAATTATCAAAATATTTAGAAATTTGAAATATGATGTCTTACTTTAGCTGTCAGTTCCAGGATGTGGACTGAAAACTAGTTTTATAAATGGGAAGCGTGTCATTTTTTTTTTTTGACACAGGGTAGACCCTTACACCTTAGACTAACTTCAGAATTGGTTATTCTATAAATAATAATAATAATAATAATAATATTTAGAGCATTTCGTATGTGTGTAGTAAGACTACACGGTTTACCAACGATTTTGCGGTTAATCTCTAATGCAATTGTATATTAATTAAGTTTATAGCCTATATATACAATATCTTAATTAATGATGATTTTAATTGAGAAATATTTAATATTATTTGATTAAATCTTTTAATTAAAGATTTTACTGTAAGATGGCGTCGTTTTATGATTATATTTAAAACTTGTCAATTGCTAGTTTCTGATTGGATGAAAATGATTTGATAAAACTGTATTTGACAAATAAAATCGTGTATTACATTCAAAACTGATCAATTACACATTTCTGATTGGTTGAAACTGATTTGAAAACCGTAATTTAATAATCGAAATCGATTAATTACATCTCTAAACCATTTTACAATGGAGAAATGAAATATATTTTAAATATCAACCGAATTTATCAAGTTACAATGTTAATAATAAATAGAAATTTCTATAATATAAATCACAATTATTTTCAGCAGGAGATTTTAACGAAGCGATAAAAAAGTTGAAAGGTTTATCCTATATATGTGTGTGTTGTTTTTACAGATTGCTACAACAACAACTACAACAACAACAGAAATCAAGTACTGGAAATCAACCGTCAGTAAGCAACAACCAAAAATCAAACGTCGACGATAACGAAGCGACAAATGGAAGTTGCGGTTCTTTTACTTCTAGTAGTCAGGATCCAGGAAGTCCTGCAGCAGTGTCTACAACATCAGGATCGAGTAGATGCTCTTCACCACAAAATTCTCACAACGGACAATAATTCATTGGATGAATACTGTTATTTTTGTGAAGACTATTTATACAAAAAAAAAGGAAAAAAAAAATATTACATATAAATATATATAAAATGAGCTCATGTACAGAATTGTGTTCAGTGTTGCTAACAAAAAAAAAAAGATAAAAAAAAATAATAATAATAATAAGAGTGCAAATGCATTTTGGTGCAAACAAAAACAAATATATATATATATTATACATACATATATATATATTGTTGTACAGTATTGTTAGTGTCTTTGTTAATTTGCGTTTTTTATTGGTTATACATGTTATAAAAAAAAGTATATATATATAAAAAAATCCGAATTTTATGTAATTTCCAAAATTGCAACTATATAAAAAATAACGCAGCAAAAATATATTAAAAATAAAAAAAATCTTTGGCTTCTTTTCTGGTTGTTACGGGTTTGTATAGGATAATTGGTGATATAATTGTACATATTGTGCTATTGTTTAAAAAAAATAGCCTATCAGATCATTAAACTTACATTTAAAATCCTTTGCTAACTTATTTTCATTATATAATTGCATTTTAAAAAATTTATATATATATATATACATACACACACATTTGTAGTGTTTAAATTATTTTTCTTTATTTAAAGTTTCTCTCTGAAGAATTATTCGGACATTTTCTAATTTAAAAATTTTTACTACTCGTGGAAAATTGGGCATACACATAGAACTTGATATGTATTATGCTAATTTTTTTAACTTTTTATATACATGAAAAATACTGAGAATTGAATTAAATTTCTGACTCTTTTTACTCGAATTTAAATTTTGAAAAGTCCCTAAAAATATTGTCAAATTTTTTATAATATGAGCGGCAACAAAACGATGAGTTTTGAATTTATAACAATACAAAATTAATAAAAATTATTCTTGTGCTAATAATAATAATAATAATATGCATTATATAGGCCTACATATAAGACAAGACACAAGTGATATGTCAGAATGGAATGTTGGGAGATTAATAGTCGACGGGATTTATCATCNCTTAATAAAAAAAATAAGATTGAACATTATCGGGATTTAAGAAATATATAATTAATTAAAAGAAAATTTAACGATGTAACAATTATTATTATTATTATTTTTTTTTATGAGTTTTTTTGGAAGGTTTTATTTTGAATAAATTACAAAATAGGCAAATTCATTTCAAATTTTTATATTCTGTTCTATTATTTTGTCTTTGTTAATTAGGTTATTAGGTTTTTCATACAATAATAAGAGTCCTGATTATAATCAGGGCTGTTTGACACGCGTACAAGCAAACAAAATCAGAAAAATAAGAGAGAAAAAAATAAAATAAAATAAATAAATAAACTCCTGTTCTGTTTATATAATCTATGAGAACTGTAACACAATATATTCAAAATAGTCTGTAACGCCACTATTCATGGATTAAATGTGATTTTATGCTCTAAACAATCTCGTGAGAAGCCTTTTCAGGATCTACATTTACAATACAGTGGAAAAAGAAATATATGTATATATATATATATATTTTTTCCTCCCTATCCTTTTCGATTCATCTAACAAGGGGCCTCATATTAACTAGATGCAAGTGAATGGCATTTTTCAATTGGGCCTTCTAATCTTTTTCCATTTGTGAAAATGGGCGTGAAGATGAAATGGAATTACGCGCCTCCACTTTTTACAAGAGGAGTGGAAATTTTTGTAAATGGGGCCCCCATTATTGCTTATGGGTGGTAGTATAGGCCTTGAAAAAGCCAAGCAAACAAAGAAGGTCTCTTCCCTTCTACCTGAAGAATCTGTTCAACGTGTTTCTTTAACTGTCAGTCACGTATCTGACATGGAAGTTAAGAGTCCTTGAATAGAAGGCCCGGGTCAGGTGTGTTAAGTGTAAAGCCGACATATTCTCTCTCAATGGCTAACCTTGAAGGATGATTATATATAGGAATGACAAGATTTTTTAACGTAGGGATGCATTTTTTTTTTATTCTTCTTCTTCTTCTTCTTCTCTTCCTCTGATAATCATTTTTTAAAATCAATTGAGTGACAGTATAATTCCACCCTTGCGGAGTGTCAACAGCTTTATATGACTCTTACCTTTCCGATAACGCATTAACTTAAATTATTCTAATTAATTGGATAAATATCTTAATTATTTTTAGATTATCGATCATCCTTCCAAACATTAGAGTAAGCGCTTAATGGATATTAATTAATCATTATGATAAGGATTTTGCTCACGAATTATTTAAAAATTCGAGGTTTTTTTTTCTACCGATTTTTATTAGTCGGAATTTCTAGAGTGGGTCAAATATAAAAATTTTGGCAATGTTCTCCCTCAAAAATGCGCTTTTTAATACCGAATTAAGTCAAGTTTTTCTGAATTAATGACAATTAAGAAGCCAAGAATTTAATTCTAGATTAGAATTAAATCGGAATTTTGCTCTATAATCGATTTTATAACTATTTTTAAGCATTAATAAGTAGGAATTTTGCTAATATTTTTATGAATTAATTAATTTGTTAGGTGAAAAGACCAAGGGAAACTGCAGTTTTTTTTTAATTTATAATATTTTAGATAAGCGTAAATTAAAAAAAAAAAGTTATTATATGTGTATACACGATGTAGAAATTTTAAATTAAAACGGTTTTTTTTTTTTCTTCCTTCAAATGGGGATGGAGAATGGGAGTTTATTATTAAACCAAACCGAGCTGAATATTGTCTGCTGAAGAGAAGCATAATCAAATCACGAATTCGATAATTAAATCAAGCGCAACATCGTCTAAAATTACCTTTCTCTCTTCTCTCAATTGAAGGGATTAGTCGAAAACCGGTCACGTGACTGGGAAACTAAAGAACGTTTGCCACACTTAAACACTATATATATAGCCTATATACATACATCGATTAAAAAAAAAAGGAAGGCCCGAACGAGGGCCCTATCGGAGAGGAGGCGATAAGAAATACTACAATGATGCTCTCACACTCTTGCACTTTACCAAATGATTACCCTCTGCCCCTACAAAATTGTCGTCACCTATTACATAATGCGTGATTAGTGTTTTGTTGGAGGTTTGGCGATAGACGGTTTGTCTGTATAGGGCCAGGTGTTTTAAGGATCTGTAGCCAATGTTTGATACGGGATCGATTTTTGCAGATAAGTGCTCTGAGAACAAACCACGTGACACAGGGTAAACATATCCATTAGTCGCTTGCTGAATCCATTACCCAGTATTGAGGTGCCTCCCTCCGATCTGATATTGTCCAGATGACGAGGAAAAAAACGGTAACAATTACAACTAGACTACTATTTCTGCTTGATACTTCGCGACGTGTTCTTCTTACCTTCTCTAACAATGATTTTAAAAATTGCAAACTCGATCACCCACAGTAAAAAGAAAAAATTAATTACCTTCTCCATTCTAAGAAAAATCGAGTATATTTTAAGTTAATTAAATAATTAAAACCATTTAAAACTGAATATTTAACACAGAAACACGCCTAGTTGTAAGTAGAGATACGCGCGACACTACCATAAAATAAACCCACTAATTAAACATATTTAAGCACTAATTCAATTAACGAGCATATAATCTTAAACATAATTAACTCACTCGATTATTTCCTTTAAAAAAATAAATGATAAATTAATTTAAAAAAAGGGATTAAACTGTAGAGAGAAAAAGAAAGAAGTGAAGCCCTTAATAAAAAAAATAAGAAGAAGAAATAAATAAGATATAAAATTTAGAAAACATAAATCGATAAAAGTAGAAAAATTTTGACTTTATTCTGGTTATTTTATTGTTAGAAAATGAGTCATTTGTCGCATTTAAAAAAATCCCTAATCCCGCGAATCATTCACCTAAGTCAAAAACTGATTAGGGAACGTGTCATTGTTATGGAAATTTAATATTCTTTTCCAATCATTTCTCCTCCCAAATGGAGTAACAATATCAAAAGGTAACAATGAGTCTGATATTAGAAATAGCGATAACATATAATAACAAATTCATTTTGTTCAACTAAAGATCTATAATGTCAACATCCAGGTGACATTTTAATCTTCTCCTCTAGTCTGGATCGCCTATTGATTCAATGAACTCTCTTGTGTAACAAATGTCCATTGTCCCGTATAATAAAAGACACTATATCGCGGCAACCACCTACGACGAGTATCGTTTTATCTACAAATTTTCAATATTTACACGTTTTCTATTATTATTATTATTCTTTACCCACTCTTATATTTATCACGTGATATATATAAAAAGTGATCAATAAGCAATTGGGCAAGAGGTGTAGAACAAACTTATCTCCATTGTAAGGTCTTTTCTAAAGAGTGGAGTGGTCTACAGGAGGGCCCTTAGAAAACCTGAAATTGCTCTTTTAACTATAATAATGGCTCCCCTTTTTTTTT